TCCTTACTCGTGAACCTAGTATCTAGATTTGACAATTAACCCGACCCTCCTTAAATCCTGTCCGGTAATGGGCACCATCATACCATTATCTTGATACCCTATCTAGTATGAGGTGAACCATATCTCGCAAACCCTTCTAGTATAGGACTTCTCAGCCTGTCCGACTGAGATAATGCTCACAGTAGAGTTTCCTATGTACCGAATCCGTCCACCCTTTCTTAGGGTACCCAATATGCTTCCATATATATAGATTCTCATCGTCTAAATAACCACCAATCACATACCAACATCTCATTACATATTCACAGGTTAATTTAAACAGCATCTAAACAAGCGATACAGTTAAACATAACTGAATAACCAAATAATCAAATAACCAAATAAACAGTACAGAAGAAACTAAATAAATCAAATCACCGAGAACACATTTTAATCTAGCAATTTAATGCACACAATGAAATAGTAAACATCCTAAACAACACAGGAGAAAATTAACAGTAAATCAAGGCAATCGTATACTGACAAATTCTGACTCCATTAGTGACATGTAATTATTATTAGAATTTTTCTAATTTTCACAAAACATGAGATTATTAATTATTAAATCTCAATTTATCATAACAGAGAATAGAGTGAGGAATTATTACCTGAATCGATATTTTGAAATATTGTATTACCCACTATGCCTCCTAACGGGCCTAAGATTTCCTGAATTTTTCTTGTAAAAATTAAAATACTCGTCACGTACTCAAAAATACCCTAAAAATTCAAAATTAGTGTTGAAAATCCTTTCCGACCAATTTTAGAGTTCCAGCACGATGGTGCCGCGATGCTCAACCGCCCACGGCGGCGATTCGCCTTACTCTAGCCGGTTTTGGCTGGTTTTGACCAATTTTACACGTATCCGTGTGAAGTTAGGAAGTCTCAGTTGGCTAAAAATATCAAAAAATCGAACCTACCAGCAGGGGGGTCTCTCGATACGGCAGCTCTGCCGATTCTCTTTGGCCGCTGGGGTTTCTTCTTCGATTAATCTGCACAGAAAAAAACGGTGAATACAATGGTCAAAGAATCGTGTGAAACGAAAAACGAGAAGGGGATCATCGAAGAGGGTTTAGGATTTTGACCGTGGTGGCTCCACTGGACTTTGCCCGCGGTCTTTGGCTCACCCGCCACCTTTTTTGCTTCGATATGGCCACAGGGAGACTCGAAATTAAATTTCGAACAAGGAGGAAAAATTTTTCCTTTTCTGGCATCGATGGTGGCTCTAGTGCGGCGGCAGCAGGTGATTGGTCTCCTTTTTTAGTGTCTAGTTCTTCTTCTCCGGCGAGGGCAAGTGCGGCTAGGGTTAGGATTCCCTGAGATGTAATGTTTAAAGACTCATCTCGTGTCGATCTAGGTAATCTGTTCGTGTTAACATGGAGCAATGAGAGTCATCCGATCGTTGCTTGTTTAGGTCGACGTGGACGAATCTGCATCGTTCATCGCGATTGATCTCGTCCGTCTAATCACGTCTAAAGAGGAAATGTATTTGAGTTACCCGTGTGCGGGGGACGTAATCGAGACTGTCAGATCGCCAAGCACGCGGATCGCCCGCATGGCCTCTCATGTGACGTCGATTTTAATGTGTTTTGCCACAGGACATGTTTTGATTTGTCGTAGCTGCTGACTGCACCGTCCCACGTGACTGATTTTTTTTTTTTACGATTTTACCCAATGTTTTCAAGTTTTCTTTTAAAAACACTTCCTTTATTCAAAATTTCACTCATTTTTCTCAAAATTGTTTTCAATTTCGTTCCTATTTTATTTTTTTTCAATAGTTTAAATTAAATTAAATTGAATTATTTATATAATTTTTATAAATAAAAAAGATTGTTTTAGACCGATTTTCAAGCTCAAGTATTACATTATATATCAAGAAAAATCTATTTGACTTTAAAAAATACGCCTCTTCTTTTCAATAAATGAAAATATTACTGTCATTTTATGACAATGTCGTTTTTATGTGTGATCTCAATCACAAAGGGTGCGGATAAAATAATCATCGATATTATCCAAATTTTTTGGCCTATTTTTCAATTCATCTCTGACCATCAAATGAAATGTGAATAGTTCGTCTTCTTCTATTCGAGACAAAGAGCACTTCTGATTTTGTACGTGCTTGAAATAATTTTATTTTCTTTATATTATTATATCTGTACAGTTAAAAGGTTTATATGATTATTGAACTCAATCAGTTATTGAGATTACTCTTAAGTTTTCTGTTGAGGTCTATCTTATAGAGATACTCAGATTAGATCAGTAATGAATTTTTAGATTTTTTTTAAAAAATAAATAACATATAATATTTAATATTATTTTTATATATTGGATGGATAGATCAAAGTGATCATGATATATGTGTGTGTGTATATATATATATATATATATTAAAATCAAAATAATTATTAAAATATATAAATTATTTTTTTATAAAATATGTGATTGTATTACATATTTTTTAAAAAGAAGATCAGTGGTTAGCGTTATTTATCTGTGTTGGGTAGGTAGATGGAAGTTCTCATAATGTGTGTACAGGTATCTTTCAAATTTTGGAAATTTTCTGGTCTCTCATCCAGATCTTTTTCTTTTTTAATTGATGCTTTTTTTCTTCTTTTTCTTGGTAAAGCAAGTTCATGGTGCTTTCTTCTTCACAAACTTTTTCTTCAACCGAACTGCTGCACTTAAAAAAATGAAATTCTAACCTGAAAATGCTCTATATAAACATCGTCTGCACCTTCTCTGCTTTCATATTCTCTTCTGTTAAGCGAAGAGGAGAGCTATAATATAATATATATATATATATATATTTATTTATTTATTCTCCACCATGATCTTTACCAGAGCATTAATGTCGTTTGCTTTCATGGTAATTGCTTCAATGGCTTCCGTTGATAAACAAACATGTGATTTCACATGGACCAGGCGAAATTAATGGAGAAGATGATGATTACAGCCTTAGATAATCAGGCTCCATATCAACGTATCAAACAATGGTATGATCGATTCTTGATTCCATTTCTTAATCCTCAAAAGAAGAAGAAGACGACGAGGATCATCAAGTATCAAGCCCCCGACCTTCTACGTCTACCAGACGGCCATATCTGGTTTTGCAGCAAAGCTCTCGACAAAACAACTCGCAGCATTAAAGAAAGTTGATGGTTTTCTCTCCGCATTTCCCAACGAAATGTTGTCTCTCCACACCACTCACTCTTCTCAGTTCCTCGGCCTAGAACTCGGCACAGGCTTGTGGGCCAAACAGAGTCTAGCGTCCGACGTAATCATCAGCGTTGCAGACAGCGGAATTTGGCGGGAACATGTCAGTTTCCAAGACACGGGATTGTCTCCGACCCCGGAGAGATGGAAAGGCAAGTGTCAGAGCGGTACCAACTTCTCCCCATCCAATTGTAATGCCAAAATCATCGGCACAAAAGCTTGCTTCAAAGGCTACGAGTCTGCCGTCGGAAGAATAAACGAGAAAACTGATTATCGTTCTCCTCGAGATGCACCAGGCCATTGAACTCATAGAGCGTCGACTGCAGCTGGTAATCTTGTATCAGCAGCTAGCTTTTATGGTTTGGCTAATGGATCTGCAGCTGGTATGAGGTTTTCTTCCAGGATTGCCGTTTATAAAGTGTGCTGGGAATTTGGGTGTGCGAGTTCTGACATACTTGCCGCCGTTGGCGAAGCTATTGTTGATGGAGGATCCTCAAAGTCTTATGACTCAGACCCAATTGCCATTGCCGCTTTTAGAGCAACCCAAAAGGGTATTTTCGTTTCCTGGTCTGCGGGTAACTCAGGCTCTGAAATATCAAGTGTAAGCAATATTGCACCATGGATTATGACAGTGGGTGCAAGCTACACAGACAGAAGTTTTCCAACAATGGTGAAACTCGGCAATGGAGAAACGTTAGAAGGTTCTTCTTTATAATTGGAAAGTCAAAATCAACAAGAGAATTACCACTTGTGTTTAATAAAACTGCTGGGTTCGACGAGACTGAAACTCCCTTCTGCTTTCCTGGTTCCCTGAAAAAGAAACTTGTAAGAAGAAAAATTGTGGTTTGTCTTCGAGAAGGAAATCGTGGAGCCGAGGAAGGAGAGCAAGTGAAATTAGCAGGTGGAGCTGGAATGTTATTAGTTAACACAGATGTATATGTGTATATTATAGAAAAAAAAATACACTAATAAAAGATTTATACAAAATAAAATATGAAACTAATTGGTTTAATGCAAATAGACTACTTTATACAAGTATATTATATCTACTGCTGAGTTTTTCACTAATAAACTACCTTCTCTATTAACATTCTTTGGACTTGGTTAAAAATAAAAATCACTGGTTTTAACATAAGAAATGATATAGTTTTAGATGACAAGTATAATTATACCCAATTTTTAACATGTAATACATGTTTTTTTTTAAAAATAATAATAATAATAATTGTTAAAATATCATACTAGTTTAATAATTAAAGGTAAATGAAAATATGAGGATTTTGTAATGATGGACCAAAAACAAAAATGATGTGAAAATTTATGTGTTCAAAGGTTTGATCATTTCCTCTTCTTTGACTTTTACTTAAAATTATTTTGAATTTAACTGTTTGATACATTATAATAATAATTATTATATGTATATAATTACGTCTAAGAAAAGAATTACATCATTTTGATAAATCCATTTCCTACCTGTAATGTAACAATAAAATTATTTTCCTAAAAAACATGAAATTATACACAACCAATGCGTTAATAATATACGCGTCTGGCGGGTGATGTAACGGTAACCGGCAATCGGCTATACTTTGGCTTCCCGTACTGTGTCGGAAGCAAAAGCGGGCCTTTTCTGAAACCTAGAATTGCCGGTCTCAGGTTTCCCCCCTTGTACACTTTGTCAACACCAGAAAAATTTCCTTCCCCTGTCAATTTACTAATAATTTGGTTTTTCTTAATTTTCTAATAATTTAAATAGTAATCTATAAATTCCCTCTCCTAACTTTTTCTCCCTGCAACTTTCTTCTTCTTTCAAGTTTCCAAAGAACTACGTATTTCTTAATGCCGTAGTTTCTTTCTTCAATTCACAAGGTAACTTCGTTTCTGCCTCTTCGATCCGCACAAGCTAACTACATTTATCATTTTCTTTCTCTGAAGCGCTGAGAATCCGCTGCGAGTTGGAGACCAAGGGTATAATTTCAAATTTCCCTTGTCTTTCGAATCTCAGAGGTTATCATCTTATCATTCTTTCTCAGAATTTTGATCTCTCTTCTTTTTTCGTTCTCTATTTATTGCTCTATATCGACTTCTGAGTTTTGAATCAGTTGCTGTTTAGATATTTGGGTTGTGATCTGATTACTCGCATATAAACCCTGTTTTGGCGATAGACGAATTGGTTTCCTGTAAGTGTTTGATATTGAATGGAGAATTATGGTTCTTCACCTTCGTATCCCTACCAGAACCAATATGCATATCCTTGTCCGACACCTCCATATCAAGGGTACCCACCTCCCCCTTCAGATCCATATCCACCTTCTTCCCATCAGTATCCCTATGGTTCTCCTCATCATTACCCATACCCGCAACCTTCCTATACACCTCCGCCACCGCAGCCTTCGTTGTCCCATTCAGGTTCCTTTGACTATCACCACCGTCCACCACCACCTTCTTCAGGTCCCTTAGACTATCAAAGTCCTCCATACCAAACATCACATTCTGGTCCTTTGGACTATCACCACCATCCACAACCACCTTCTTCTACAACCTACCATTCTGGTCCCTTGGATTATCACTACCATTCACAAAGTCATTCAGGTCCCATAGATTATCACCACCATGCACCAAGTCATTCAGGTTCTTTGGACTATAACCAACAATCTCTGACTCATTCAGGCCCTCGTCCCTATGCATATCCGTATCCAGCTGCTTCAGTCCCTCATGCTCCTCAGCCAGCTCTTCAGCACCAAGGTAGTTTCCAATATGGCTCATCTAATTATCCTTATCAACAAGCCGGCCAATATCCACCACCTGAAAGCAGTTCTCAAGTGCCTCCTCAAGCCAATAGCTCGTCCAATCATCATATGCAGGACAGTATGGGTTCTTCAGAAACAAATCATGACCGCCCTGGTGGTACTGCTTATCCACCTATTGATGAACTTTTGAGCAATGTGCACATATCTGATAATCATCCAAGTGCCCCTG